TTTGTAAAGAATTTTTAAATCAATAACGAAACCTTTACTTTTCGATGAGGAAAATTCATAACTGAGAAGATAGAAATTATATTTGGTGAAAAATAAATAACAGGGGAACAATTTTAACTCAATTCATGTATAAATACTACACTATAGCAGTTGACAAATCTATTTCATTTATGAGAAACCTTCACCGCAGAAGAGCACCAAATTATTTATGCAATTTGCTTTCTGGCAATTGTAGTACAAAGGATAATAGCAGGTGAATGAAATGCTTCATCCCCACACACGTCTGGGAAGGAAACATCCATAAATTGGAATACATTAACTTGATAAACGACTTCGTATATAGTACGTCACGTTATCTAAAAAATGGCGATGCCCATGTCGTGCTGAAAAAGTGTCATTATTCTTGCTTTATGCCTCTCTCATACACTTTGGTGGGGAATCTTGTATAGATTAATGGGCAATAATATAATAAATCTCTCAGAATAAGTAAAGTTATTTCGTGGGGTTCGGTTTCCTTTAAATTTGGTTACATAACGAAAATGCATTTTTTTTTTTTTTAATATTTTTTTTTAACATGTGATAACAAAAGGGCGTGGGATGAAAAACACACATCGACTCCCCCCCCCCTTCAATCAAAAAAAAAGTAAAATCAGGTCATCAAATTTTTTATAAATTCTAACATTTATGAATCTGTTAGAAACTAAAGAAAGAATTGAAAGAAAACACTCTGAAGTACTTCAGTTCTCAGATCTAATTATATAAACGTCTCACAGAAAAAATTACGTTTCCCAAAACTGTGATGACCCATAGCATTTGCACGAGAGAGACTGGTCTAGTTTTTTAAATCAACAGCTAATTGAAATTGTTCCATGACTTACCCGAACGCAAACATTTTAACAAAAGGCTCCCCGGGAATGACGAAACTTAATCCTAGCTAAATGGGTCCACAGCGTGACAAAACTTGACGTCAAGGATGATTTCGACAATGACTTCAACGACGACCTCGACGAGAACGACGAGAACGACGAAACATAAAGCCCGTGACCTAAAGTAACTAAATGATGACACTTAACAAAAGAGTCCGCACCCAATCACCTTCCCTGATTTTATCAGTACGAACCAATCAGCTTCAATCTTCTGTACCTTGATTGTCACGTGTCTTAACTTTAGCCAATGAAATGTCTATCCTCAACCACAGTCACAAAACTGCCTCACGAGGACGTCAATCAAAATGTGCAAGAACAAAAGAGCACGTGCTTTCAGCCTCTCAAAATAGGCGTGGCTTACAAGGCCAGAAATATGTCGGGAACCCGAAAAGAAATATACATGAGCCACGCGACTATGAATAGGCTGCAAATTACATGAATTCCATTAATGTTAATATCGGGCTGGTGTGCATACCAGTACGGACACCTGTATGAAATTCCATTGTGACTGACATTTCGTGCAGGGACCGTCTCAAAATAAGTGAAAAATCGCGTGGCTCTATAAACAAATAAACGCTTACATAATTTGATCCCCGAAGTCTACCTGTTTTTTGTGTAAGTTGATTTTTCTACCCTTCTGTACTAAGTTCCAAACCTTTTTTAACACGGGTTTAAAACCCTCATCTGCACATTTTACTGGTCTAGCGCCCCCTCTTCCTAGAGATCACGTGTCAATAAAAAAAAATCATCAAGTGACAAACTTTAGTATTTTGAAAGATAATAATAAAAGTCATAAAACAATCAGCAGTAGACAGCGCGGTATTAAACGCTATTACTGTCGTTGACAGCACAGCGCCCCCTTTTAAGTAAACCAAAAGTTCATCTTTTACTCCAGACAAGTACCCTTTTTATTCCTAATAAGTGCACGTTCGAAATTCTTATTTAAGTGCCGCTTACCACCTCTGATAAGTGCCCCCTTCCCCCATGATAGTTGCTCCCATTTATTTTGACACGAGCCCCTTTTTTCCTTTCTATTATGAGCCCCTTCCCCTTCGTACTTTTCTATTTTGTTGATTATTGATTTTTTTTTAAAATTTTGATTTGGAAAATAAAGACCCTACCATATCAAATTTTATATTTTGCCTTTTTTTGTTTTGCTCAAGGGGGTTGTTGTTGAGTAAAACAAAAAATGGTGCTCACTACCCCCCCCCCCGTCCCCCACTTATGCGCCGCTAATATGTTCTCATGAATTGGGCCCCCTCCCTCGCCACCGGCTGGATCCGCCCCTGCCGTGTAGCCAGTGGCGTAGATCCTTAGGGGAGACCGGGGACAATAACACCTTTTTCCAATTCCGAAATAAAATTCTATGAGATATGCTTGACTCATTTACATTATATTTTTTCCAGTAACGTGGGGAAATTATACTAGTTACAACGTTGTTACATTTGCCCCCTAGGAGGGCGGCCATATTTTTCTTGTATCCTAGCATTTAATTTCGTCCTTTAAACTTTCGCCTAATACAGGCCCTAAAATTTTATTTTTGACCATATCAAAATGACAGTGATAGCACAAGCACATATTTGACCAGAATTTTTTTATTTTTTTAAATATTTTTTTTTAGGTAATTGAAGATTTTACTCCCGTGCTAAAAACCCGATGTCTTGGAAGTCAACCAAAGATAACAACAACTCGTATTGCATCACGTGCATACAATATATCATACTAGGTCGAATCATTATATTCGATCCAACTTCGATCTTGTTACTGACATACATGACTATAATACAAGAAATAGCCGATTCAATTTTAACTTGCCAGAAAGAGATGGTAGTATTGGTAATTCGTTTAATTACAATGGCATAAAACATTGGAATTCCCTTCCTAATGATATGGAAAAAGAAAACTTTGCTTATTTTAAGAGGAAATTAAAGGAATACCTATACTTGAGAGTCAGAGAAGAGAAGCGAATGATTTGTTATATGATTAAAATTGTAATTCTTCTGCTGGTTCCTTTTCATTTTGTATAAACTTATGTTTTTGTACGTTATAGAAATTCTACATATTCATCATTATTTTCCTGTTCCTCCTATTTTTCTTCTTCTCCTTCTTATTTTCTTCTTGTACTTATTATCATTTCTATCATCAGTTTAATGTTGTTATAAGTGTTATCATCATTATTATCTTTAATAAGTTTTTTGTTTTGTTTGTTTGTTTTGCTTTATTTCCACTTTTTTCATATCAATACAAAGAAACATACAAATAAATATAATGAATAACATGTAAGTTTGACAAAAATTCTTTCTAGTTAAAATAAAAGTTTCTTACAAAAGGAAAAAGCAGGAGACCACATGTCGTAAGCGTAAATGCTTGAAGATGACCGTGACCTCTGTCGAGTAAATATTACTAGTTTAACTTATTAATTGTGTACATGTCTGTAGGGGACCCCACTGGGAATGAGCTCTCGAGCTTTCGTGGGTTATGCTGCTCAAGATGACTTCATTTTGACCTGTTATTCTTATATATTTTTGTATGTTGGATGCTGTGCAGGGCGTATACGCATAGCGCGTTTCTATAGGGGTGGGAGCCGCTAGCTGTTAAATTTTATCCCCTTGAACCAGTCCATTGAGTTACTAGGGGCTTTTAGATTTGCCGAACAACGACGTGGATTGCTACGGTCGACGTCCTTTTAATGCACTGCCTTGAATGGACGTCACACGTATCAGTCCACGCAAATCTAAAAGTCCCTACTATAACTCCAATGCTTGAACATAAATGATCCCCCTGAACAATAGTTTTATGTAAGGTTCAACAACACTAACTGTAGCTAGGGCAACGCCCTATGCCCCCGTCGAGGGTCAATGGCGGATTGGCGGGCTTCATTCAGAGTAAGCTTCTTTTGTATGTGACAGGAAACTTTGTGCGATTAATCCTTTACCATATAGCTCTTCATTCGTCTATATACATGTACGTACTTGCAACTAGCACTGCAAACAGCCGGGTACCCAAAACAGCCACTCCCGATATTTGCCTCGTTGTGATTAGTCCACTGCCTGGACTGTTCTCTCCATGATCCGTGCTCGCTCACATAGTACACCATAATATACACGTACGGACACAGCTGAGGACATTTTTCGGGGAAGGTGAATTCGTGGGGAGTACGCATTTCATACACGCGCGCGCATATCGGTCCTATCTTGACTCTTTCTCCTTCTTAGCAGGAAGCTGTAATTAATGGAGATCCCGTCCAAGAGGTCCCTTTGAAGTCATCCGTGGCACCGCGCGTCTTTTGTTCCCCCTACCGTAATCCCCTTAATCCCCCTCCGAAACCGTACAGCTCTCTTGTAGCACTAAGTCCTCCCTTTCCACATACAGCCCAGCCCAGCGAGCACGGCGGCTTTTGCTTTGCCGGCCCGTACTTGGGGTGAATAGTGGTGATAACTTGACAACTTCTAGCACTAAATCAATAAATGCGCAAACATATAACACAATATCATTTAGTTCATTAGAAAGATAAACCTTTGGACTACCTTCCTAGCTATGTAAAAATTTCGGAAATTTTCGGGAAATGTCAATAATTAGATGAGAAAATCATGATGATAAAAACCTTTCATTCGCTCTAACTCATGATTTCCTTGGTCGATTTCGCTGGTTGAAATGGCCATGTCTTCAGTACAGCTATCTGAGAACGGAAAAGTCATTTGATGACTTATAGAAATTTGCATTGGTCATTATGTTGTGAATTCTGTATTTTATATGTTATAGCTAAATACATCTTCACTAAACATGACTTAATTTGTCGGTGCCACGCATGGCTTCAAAGCTCGATGCTTGCATATTTTTGCAAAAAAGTGAATAGAGAACTTAGGGAAGCAGATGGCGTTGCGTAACATTTCGTACTATTTGGAATGCCAGAGAGGGACTGTGCATTGATATGGACAGCTGTGGATGGAAATGATGGCTGGAGAGGATTACATTTCTTTTTGTTAAGCCAGGTTAATCTTGAATATTTTATCCTCGGAAAATTCTTTTGAGACGGTATCTCCATTCATTACAGCTTCCTGTTCTTAGTGTTTAATTGCTGTGAATAAAATACAATTTTTTCTTGCTGGATTATAATAGAGTGTGACTACCGTAGTGTTAAGCTTACTAGACCAGCAGCAAGTATGATGACCATCTTGCGAAAACCAAAGGTGAGTATTAAAACTAGAAAGTCATTTATTACTCGCTTTCCTCTGCCATTGTATAATTGTACTGATGTATTTAATTAAAAATGTTGGACGAGAGTGGAAGCAAAGACCACAGCAAATTTTAGCTTAGGTCTCGCGATCCGCTTCTCCAAAAACGTCCGATGCTCATCATGTTCATGTTATTTAATATAATATCACCAAGCGCTTGAAGCCCCTCTCAAAGTGTAGTGGGAGCCCCAACAATTTGATGGAAAAATCTCACTTAAAATGTATCATAATGTGAAAGAGGATGTCATTTAAGACACATCCCATTCTTTCACCTACATATCAGGGCTCAAATTAATTTTTTGTCCACGGGGGCTCTTCCCCCGAAAAAGAGCCCCCGTGAGCCTTCTCACGGGGGCTCTTTTATTACTGATGGGGGCTCTTTTTTCTACAAATATCCATTGAATTGGTACCTAGATACTCCTCAATTATTTGCTGTTTCATCATTATCATTTCAATCAGCATTTTCCCTCTTACAAATTTACAAGCTACATAGCTGTTACTGGCCTGTGTATATAATATACACGCATACAACACTAATCTTTATGATGTCTTTAACGTGACATATCTTCTTCTCCCCTTGCAAACGAAAAAGAAAACATGTTCATTAAAAGGGATTAAACGACAAATAATGATTGTGATTCAAATCGATGCGAATATTTGTTTGAATAAGCACTGCTCTTCACCCGAAACTTCTTTGTAAAAATAACTTTTACAAATCTCAGCCATGCTTACTGAGTTGAGACGTTCCATTCAATTTAAAATACCCATTACATAATACACTTCTCCTAATCTCAAAGTGATCTTACAGCACAGTGGCAGAATTGCATGGCTGAGATTTGTAAAAGTCGTTTTTACAAAGAAGATTCTGGTGAAAAGTATTGCTTATTCAAAAAAATCCTTGCATCAATTTGAATCACAATGATTATTTGTCGCATGGTCCTTACTAAATAACCTTGTTTTCTGTTTTGTTTGCAGAGGGAGAAGAAGCTATGTCACGTTAAGAAATCATAAAGATCAGTTGTATTATGCGTATATACATTATGATACCAGAACAAATGTTGATTATCAGAATGTCATTTTGGAATACCTCTATACAAATACCACATTGTCTTTAGCCCGTATCAGTATTAGTATGATCCAATATAAAGCTATTATGCTTTATTTAATTCAGTATAATGCTTTTCCTCAAAAATAGTTTTGCTATTTTTTAGGGTTGAGACGCTAAGAAATGGTTTCAAATGTACATTACACGAACCCTGAACCATTGCAAAATGATGGTGGTTCTCTCTCTCTCTCTCTCTCTCTCTCTTTATTTTAATCATGCATTATCAACTACATATAAAGCAGCATCCAAAAACTTAGGGTTATCTGAGATAGATAAAAGTAAGAGTTAAAAAGAAAGTCATGCTAAAACGGCGCTTCACTTCCCCCCGCCCCCTGAAAAAAATTAAAAAGATTAGTAGTCCTCCTCTCCAGAATCCCCCTCCCCCCCTCCCGCTTTAATATCACATTTTCACTTGGCAGCCCAAGGGGGCCGGGGGGGGGGGGGGGGGGTGGGAGGAGGGGGTTAAACCCCTCCCCCCCCCCCCCCCCGCCGTAGATCTGCCAATGTTACCATATCATTCCACGACATTTTGGTCTTCCTCTTCTCCTCAAAAGGGACTTTTAGATTTGCGTGGACGTGGACGTGTTACGTCCTTTTAAGGCACTGGCAATCACATGGGACGTCCTTTTAAGCACTGGCAGTGCCTTAAAAGGAGGTCACACGTTGCAGTCCACGTTCTCATCGTGCAAATCTAAAAGTCCCTAATATTGATTTACTGGTCGAGGTTCATTATTTGCTAACAACGAAAAACTTCTCCAGGCCATGACCATGTTTCTGCCCTTGCCCGATCGCCTCCAGCTCCAGCAGACATGGCGCGGCAGCGTGCACACGCACCGCTACTAACGGCGCAGTAGGCCTATAGCCACTGCTGACGGCGGCACTGCACTGCGAGCTGAATCGGTAATAATAGGCCTACTCATAAAACGAGAAATCTTGCACGCTAATCTTAGTTCCATTTCATTGGTTTAAGGTTTGAAAATTGAAACTCAATATTGTGTTAAAGTTATAACAGAAAAGATTATCTTTATTTTATGATTCCACCGGGGCGATTTTTAATTTTGCAATCGCCCCCGTGAGCAACCTGACGGGGGCGATTTTGTAGCTCACGGGGGCGAATCGCCCACCGCCCCCGTGTATTTTGAGCGCTATTAAATTGACCTTTGCAGACCGGCCGCTTTCCAAAAGACCTAAAACTCGCTGAAATTATTCAAATCGCTAAAAGTAAACGATCAAATCTTAACCTTAAGACCTATTTCACTTTTGTCATCTGTTTCTAAAATATTAGAAAAAGCTGTTCACTCACAACTGTATCACTATGTGAACAAACATCGTTTTTTGTCTGAACACCAATCGGGCTTCCGACCAGAACACTGCACTACAACTTGCCTGACCGAGATTATAAGATTTTTTTTGTTAGATAATATTCAAGCCAAATTACAGGAGCGATATTTTTAGACTACAGTAAAGCATTTGATGTTCTACCCCTTGATATTCTTTTATATAAATTATCGTACTAAGGAATTTATGATACAGAAATGTTTTGGTTCACCTCGTATTTATTTAATAGGAATTAAGCAGTGTGTAGCCTATCAGGGCGTAATGAGTGATTTTTTTACCTGTTGGAACTGGAGTGCCCCAGGGGTCGATACCGGGACCTTTATTATTTAGTATCTTTATCAATTAAATTTGTTATCTTAATTTCCAACACATGCAACAAGTATTTTGATACGCTGACGATACTGCCATCTTTGCAAAAGTGGGTAATTTTGCTCATGTTCAACAAACATTACAAAATAACCTGGATGCTTCGTTAAAATGGTTTACCATAAACAAATCGAAGATAAATTCTAATAAAACTAAAACTACATCATTTGGCTCTCAAAGAAAAGTACGAAATTGTTAGTTGAAGTTAGAAATACAAGGTCAGTATCTAGAATATGTAACTATTAAACATTAAGTATTTGGGTGTTGTTCTCCTACAAAGTCTTAATTGGTCGTTGCAGATTAATGAAGTTGTCCGGAAAATATCGCGAACTGTAGCATGCATACGAAGGATCAAATCATGAGGCGAAACATGTTTCAGCTGTACTTTTCACGTGTCTTACCTCAAGTTGACTATTGTTGTTGTGGATGGGGTACGTGTACACAAAAATATATGACAACATTACAAAGAATTCAAAATAAATATGCAAAATTAGTTATAAATGCTGATTTCTATAGGTCGAGTGCTACTTTGATGCATCAACTTAAATGGCAAATTGTTGAAGAAAGAGTAAAGTACCAATGCTGTCTGAAAGTTGACACGTCTACGTCTACGTCTACGTCTATGCTGGTACTCGTCAAAAGCCTTTTCAGCAACTAAACGAGGATATTGTGGTGTACCGTCACAATTGTAAACAATCTTGCTCCTTTGTATTTAAATACATTTGTATCCTGACGTACATGTACCCTACACGATATGCCCATTTTCTTACTTTGCATGTTTACAGTTCAATAAATTACCACTTTCTATTCAATTATCATCAACTTTGCAAGTTTTCGAAATTCAAACCCGCCACTATCAGTCTCTTCTTTAAACAAAAAGGTATATATATATATATATATATATATATATATATATATATATATATAATGGATTTCACTACATTTAACGAGAGCTGACACAAGGTCCCGAATTCACAAAGGAGGTTTGTCGACAAACCTCCTTTGTGAATTCGGGCCACTGAGTTTGGTCGTTTGCTAGTTTGGTTATATAATTATCTTTTACCCGCTTTCACACAGGAGAAAAATTATTTAATGCTGATTTGTTCAAAGAGCTTTAAGCTTACCAGCTTTGCATACGGTGACGTTTACCCCTGTGTGAAAAGGTAATACTGTCTTTTCCCACAGGGGTTTATAGTCTCGTCAAACTATCCATTGTGTTCTTACACTGCATGTCTTTCTTTTCTGCAATCCACTTTAATCTGCCTTTTTTTTTTTAGCCACACTTTACTTTAAACTCTTCAGTCTGACTTTAAATTTTCTTTTCTTTTAGTGTGTTTTAAATTTGTGATTTCTATCGGTTCAGTGTAAGTATATCAATTCGTCGCTGTTTTCACGAAGTGACGGTAGTGAAAAATAATTGCATTCACTTTGCGTGACGATTTTCCTCACTACTGTCACTTCGTGAAAATAGGGACGAATTAATGTGAACTTTTTTTGTTAAATTGATAAATATAGTTATATGCCCTTGCTTTATTGGGCTCATTTAACCCCCCCCCTTTGGAATTTTTTTGTGTGTAACCCCCCCCCCCCATAACCCCCTAAAACCCCCACCTTTGCATTTTTTTTTTTATTAAAAAAAAAAAAAAAAAATCCCATGGCTGACCTAAAAAAGCTGACCTTACCCCCCCCCCCCAACGGAGCAAAATGTCCAATTTTCAAATTTCGAGACCAAAAAAAAAAGTGTCCTCTTACCCCCCCCCCCCCCCCCCCCCCCCCCCCCGGCTTATTCAGCGGTCGGCTGAGTCGTTGCGATTTTGTTTGGACCAAAAGAAGAAAAAAAAAGTGACCTCTTACCCCCCTCCCCCCCTCCCCGCTTATTCAGCGGTCGGCTGAGTCGTTGCGAAATTTTCGGCCCGATTTATAAATGTTAAACCCCCCCCCCCTTGAAAAAATCCTGCGTACGCGCCTGCATGTGGCACCTGTTCTACACATTTTTACATAATAGCAGTGAAGGAATGTTCCTTTGTCTACCTGAGGAACTGTATATTTTGTCCGCTTTCTCTGTCAGTCATGTTCATAGTGATAATTCCTTGTGTTCACAATGCTCAACAATTAATGCGAGCATTCAGGAGATGTTGTATATATGAGCATAGCAAATAAAAGGAGGTTCATCGATGTGTTTAACAACAGCGATTCATTCAGTTGAGATTTCTTTATCGGAAAATTCATACTCAGCGATCAAAAAATTAAAAATCTAGATATGTTTACATTTGTCAAGTTTTGAGCCCCAAATGAGATTTATAGTAAAAATACTCGTGTATCCACCCTTATCTTACTCCTTAGCATTTTCGCAAGATTTTTTTAGTAAAGATGCATTACCCCTAAATACCATGCATTACCCCCAAAATACCATGAAATCTTTTATAGAGCCTTTTTTTTTTTGTAGTGTTTGGCTTGTTTACTATACGATGATACCAAAGCGTATATGCATAATTATATATTTACTCTCTTTTGTGTTTTGTTATTTTGATGAGTTTATATTCATGATTGTTATTGCAATTTGTTGTTACCTAACAGGGCCTCATGGAAAACCACCACTATTGGTGAAGATATATAAGCTAGCCCTGTATATATATCAGAAGGTAAACTCAAACAGAGATGAAAAGAAGGACAATCCACGTCTTGGAATTATAATTGAAAGCACATATAGGGATAACGATATACTCTTCTCTTTCAATTTACAGACATCGCTCTTCCTGGTGACATTTGTAGGAGCCGTAACTATCATCGTCGGAATTTTATGTGGTTTGCAGACACGCCCAGTCCGCAGACGTGCCGAGTTTCCGATGTTGGTAGTTGAGAAAACAGAGGATGATTCATCCCACAAATCACTTTTTGCCAGAACAGGATGTGTCAAAAAGGTACATATATTTGGCAGCGACAGAGAAATGCGTCACATACCAGAACTGCAGGAATACATGGACATTTTCAAAAAGAGCAATCTACCTCTAGGTGCTACGGACCTCGATTGTGTTTCTGAGGGGTACGACTGTGACATCGTCCTCACCATGGGTGGTAATGTGGACTACCTTGAGGGAAAAGACGCGGTTGTCTTTGGATTGGTTCCCACGGAGTTCCGCGGGGAAGGGAGAGAACAATTCAAGAAGTTGTTGGAATTGCAACCGGCTCCAGGTCAGACGTGGATATATTTCAGCACGGAGCAGCCGCTACGTGTACTCAGGTGGACCAGAGACCTCGACCTTATGCGCCTCAAGTATCATGTCCTTATGACCTATGATTTGGATTCAGAAATAGTCGTTCCTTTTGGTTACTACCGGCCCTTCAATGCACCAGGTGTTAACGCGAGCTCCAACAAGGCTTTGGAGACAGCCCATCTCCAAGATCCACTCTTGGGAAAGAAAGGCATGATAGCGTGGATGGCCAGCAACTGCAACGCGTTCTGGCCACGTACGGAATTCATCAGTCAAATGAGGGATGTGCTCCCACTCGATGACTATGGTAAATGTGGTCGGAAAGAGTGCCTCCCATTACGATCCGAAGAATGCGACAAACTTATGGCGAGCTATAAATTCTACTTCGCCATTCCCAATGCTGAGTGTAAAGACTACATCACGGAAAAGTTCTGGCTCCAGTCACTATCCGCCGGTACGGTGCCGGTCGTAGTTGGCTCGCGGAAGGAATCTTACCAGGCGGTGGCGCCTCCGAACTCCTACATTCATTTCAGCGACTTCGAATCCATTGGTGACTTAGTGGACTACCTAAATCGCCTCAACAAAGACGACGAGGCCTATCGCAGGTTCCAGGACTGGCGAAGTGAGGGAGAAGTGGTGCTCAACTTCCCGACACGCCCTACAATCTTCTGTAGAGCACTACCTCATCTCCATAAGAAACAAGATGTGAAGCCGTACAAGTATCTAAGCGATTCACCCTGGTTCAAAGGTTGTAGGATGACTCCAGACAGAAAAGTGTTTAATATGACCAAACAAGAACAGAAGATTTTGTCTAAATTTGAAAATTGGTCGGTATGGCGATGATCGAAAATTTAATGTTTGACTGTTAAAATGAACTGATTATATCATCGTTATATAAGAATCATTGATATCGTCACAAACTACCCATAGGAAAGAAATGAGCCTGCCGCATACTCCTGCGGCAGACTTGCCGCAGATCTGCAGCAGACCTGCCGCAGACAGTCATCTTTTTCACATGCAAATTAGTTTTGCCGCAGACTTGCCGCATACTCTTTCAGTATGATGAAGAGTCTGCGGCAGGTCTGCCGCAGACTCTTCGTCATGAATATTCATATCTCATATAGACCTGCTGCAGACCTGCCGCATACTCTTTCATATCCAGTACGTGACAATAAAGTATGCATGTAGAAGAACCAGTGATAAACTGATTGATACAGTACTTCATAATCGATATTGGCAATATCGTTATTACCAATTAGGTAATACCAATATATATATATATATTACCAATTAGGTATATTCTATTCTCAATTGTATTAACTTCATCACATTGATCATTTGAAGTGTATTCAAGAGTAACATTTAAAGTGACACAGGCTCGTGCATATATATATACTAAATATGTATATTGTTTCTTGGTTAGTAATCATAGTTTCTTGGTTAGTAATCAATATATCTATTGCTTAAATGTGAATGTAATTGTAACATGATCAGACAAAATAATCTATTGGTTAATAATGGCAAAAGGAAAATAGAAATCACAAAAATGATGTGCATGTCTTAATTTCCTTAACAAATCATGATAAATGTATTTTTCTGTCACACGTGTAAAGTAATAATGAATATGCATGAGATGATTGGTTTCAATTGGCCCTATTAGACTTTAATGGGATTTCCTGTGGCAGACCTGCCGCAGACTGTTCCTGTGGCGTACTGGTATGCGGCAAGTCTGGAGCAAAGTTTCGCCCTGCCGCAGATCTGCCGCAGACTGTTCCTGTGGCATACTAGTATGCGGCAAGTCTGCAGCAAAATTTCATCCTGCCGCAGATCTGCCGCAGACTGTTCCTGTGGCATACTAGTATGCGGCAAGTCTGCAGCAAAATTTCATCCTGCCGCAGATCTGCCGCAGACTGTTCCTGTGGCATACTAGTATGCGGCAAGTCTGCAGCAAAATTTCATCCTGCCGCAGATCTGCCGCAGACTGTTCCTGTGGCATACTGGTATGCGGCAACTCTGCAGCAAAATTTCTTTCTGCCGCATACTTCGGCATACTCTTTGCCGCAGACTAAAAGTCTGCGGCAGGTCTGCGGCATACTTTTCACTTTCCTATGGGTATACTGCAATCTGTGTACAGACTACTGTTAATCTGCTGCACTGAATACAGTTTATTGACTTTTTCGTAACGCTTAATTGCGTTGGACTTGAAACCCTTCCGTATATCATAGTTTACATCTCCCAGTCCCATCACAATGACATTTAAGTGATCGACAAATGCTAACACATTTTCATACTTATCCAAAATATCGGTTGTGCTATTTGGCGGGCGATACCATGACAGAAATAAAAACGGAGTGGAAAATTTCGGTCGCACTCTGAGCTCTGACAAGTAAAAGTTCAAGCGGGTTAAGATCTTCCGAATTAACCAATTCATATACGAAATAGAGCTCTGGATGTAAATAGCAACCTCGCCTCCATTGCGATTTCGGTCGTTACTGCGAATCAGATCATAATCTTGTATACGAAGTTCGTTGTCATGAATAGACACGTCGAGAAGAGTTTCATTCAAGGCCAGAACATGAATGTCATTGTCATGCAAGCAAACTCTAATTTCATCAATATTTCTATACAGACTACTGAATGTTAAGATGTGTACATTTAAAACCATCTTTATCAAAATCAGTATACTTAACGATTTTTATAGAATTAGAATGACCCGATTATATTGTAGAAGTCGCACGCTGTACAGGCTGGTGATTTTTGCATAGGTTTAGAATTGCCAAAAAAGGTAAGCATTAAATATGCACTTTGTATATTTCCAATTGAGAAATTCGTAATAAATGTGTTCATAATTATTAACTCCCGCACATGTCGTGTGCATCCAGGTAAAGCAATGTGTACATTGTAGTCCTTTTTGGTTATTTTTAACTGGTTAAGTACAAACACAAGGGTATTGTATAGTCATTACATTAATTGGATAAATGGAAAGAAGAATAAAATAACTAAACTAAACTAAAGTGAAAGTATGTATGCAAGTATAAAAACGTAATTACATTTTAATCTTAAAGAAAATGCAAAATGTTAATCACGAGAATGAAAAACAAGAAAATTATCAATAATTCATTGAATCCCCCCCCCCCCCGGTCCCCAACAGAAAAAAATCTTCTGTGTACCCATGCTTTGAGCCATAATGCATGGCCGTACAGAGGATTTTTTTTATGTTGGGGACCGGGGTAAAATGCAATCAATTATTGATAATTTAATACATTTTAATTTTTTGTTTGTTTTGTGGGAACTGCCCCCTAACCTAGTCCCTGCTGCGTACATTACTGGTTCAGTGGCGAAGCAATGGCCTCGTAACTGTGAGGCCCTTTTACTGTCATTTATGACTTAGGGCGTATCTTTTGAATTGTGGATTTACAGAAGAATAATGAAAATATCATGGAAACGGATGAAAACCAACAAAGAGATATTACACACGGCATGGCAGGGCGTAAACAAATTGCACTAGTAGGATTAGTTAACTATTAACTAGAGTGTCTTTGTGTTGTCTTGTGTTCTGTATACATAACATCCATTTACTTTATTGATATATTATTTTAAATATGTTTTGTGGTTGAGTTTTATTTTCAATTAAAAAAACAAACAAAACATATCCCTCACACAGTCTTGACAATTCAGGCCCACCGCACATATTATGATCCGATTTTGGAAGAACTTACAACAGCATAATTATGAAACAAACGAAAATCTGAATAGTCATATAATTGAGAAAAATTAAATTTCAGGGATTACATACTTCCTTGGAAGAGGAAAAGCTAAATCGGCTCAGAATCGTAGTGACGTCAGACCATGCAGTAACGCGATTGTCTACTATTTGAAGCCGATTCGGATTTTATTCCGACTGGAAGAGTTCAATGCACTAAAATTTGGGTTAATTGTTAGTATTCTTATCATTATTTAGTAGCTAAATCAGGAAGATAACGTTCGATTATATTTCCTATAAGTACGATTGCAATTTGTTTGAAAATATATAGGATCGCAGGACGATCGTGTACTGTGTGGTGGGCTTTACAGGTTAACAAGAAAAAGACGACACAACCATATAAAACGAGGACAGCACAATATATGACTGTTTCCGTCATAAAGTGGAACACATTTACAGTTTATTCGATTGAACACCATGCGTTTATACCTTTACATTCTCTGTATATTTTTCTCTTTTTCCCAATTTCTTCACATTCGCACATATCTTTAAACATGTTAAACATTTCATTTTCGTTATTAGGATAGTACAAATATGTCCTGTCCACTTATAAGAAATTGTACGCTCAATGAAGAAAGTTTTAACATTTTTTTTTGCAAATACAACAAAACCTCAGAGAAAAGCGAGGCTCGAATAGATCATCACACTCTTATTGGTGTAATGTATATCAACACAACAGTGCAGAATTCCGTATTACAATGCATTTGAAGGGCAATGTATATCATATCTGCAAGTTACGACTGCAGTTGTACCATTACCAGTTATGTAGAGTTCATGTGACAAATTAAAAGAGTTGCTTAAATCTTCCTACACACTTCAAAAGATAAGGTCTCTCCCTAACTGTTGTCGCAAGCCCATATTTTCTGCGAACACCGTTATTGATATCAATCTATATGTACTTGGATCCCACTTCGAGGCATGTGGTCTCGCTACTATAATAAATATAAAATTATCTGTTGTTTTTAGCTTAAATTCTTCCTATCAAAATAGATGACCGGTTTCTACATTGTGCCCAAGACTACGTGCAACCAAGCAGAGAGCCTGTCAAGACTCGCACGTAAAGCATGAAGTGAAGTCCAAAGACATGTTGAAAGTTCGCAACAAATTAGTAATTTGAGACACAATCACAACCAAAAACAAAAAATAGAAAAATGCATCTGGGAATCAAATGTTTCTCCCAGTGAATAAGCTGCAATGTGATTTAAAACTTAAACACCAAAGAGGATGTAACAGATCTAAATGTATATATGTTAACTCGAGAATGAAGCAGTATACGACGGAGAAGAAGTCAGGGGTGTTTCATCAACTTAACTTCACTTATCCTTCACTTAAAAAGAAATATCGTCTGTTTGGAGACAGAAGAGCATCAACTTTTATTCTCTAACATAGAGTTAAGGCCCTACTGCTCAGAACAGACAATATGAACTCTTTAAATTAACCATTTACCTGCTTTGGTCGACCATTGGAATAGTGGATTGCCACGGTTGACTATTGGCACACATACAGTGTACATGGTTCATGTACAACAACACTCCAAACATTGTGGCAAGTCCTAGGGCCCATTTCACAAAACTTGTCATCAGTGACAAATTACAATTTTGGATTTAAGCTACTAAAATCCTTGCTTCTGATTGGTTATCAGCAGATTTGTCACTGATTTTTTGTCATTTGTCATTTAAAAAAGGCTTTGTGAAACAGGTCCCAGGATTTCATTCCAAGCATGTTCAATAGATCTGCACTTCTAGCTTTAACATAACATCATTGGTATTCAGGGCTTCTCATAGCAGAAGCATCAACTGAGGTAACCTTAAAAGACCTTCACAGAAGTCTTACATATCATACCAGAATCCCTCAAGAGTTCCCATCTTTAAAAAAAAAAATATCTAAAATATCATCACATACAATAATATCTTATCCCTTCTAAACTATAAATGTCAAACATTTACAATTTGACGGTATAAATATCTGCATATATGAAACACACATTAGGATAATAAATAGAAGTTAAATCACAAGTAAAGGTACATGGCGGGCCTTGCAGCGAAGGCAAAGAAAATACAGATACATAGATTGAAAATAAATGGAAGGGGGAAGGGGTGGGGAGAAAAGAAGAGTCAGAGGGGGAACAAAGTGGAAGAAGGGGGGGGGGCAGGATAGCGGAGAGATCGTACATAGAAACTAAGTTTGTATATTCAGATACGTGGATTAAATCATTTTAAATAAAGAGCAAACAATATAGAAGGCAAGACATGCAAAACTTTATTTCCATTTCGCCTTGTCAAACAATTAAAACACAAGATGATTTCAAAATTAACCCTTCTCTCTATTTGAGGACCCCACAGAACTATCAGATATTACTGACAGCTTTTTATTCCCCAAGGATAACTTTGCATGTTCACTTTCTTGAAAATATCCCAACATACTTCTGACATGTTTATGATAAAATATAAATAATAATATAACATTAGGACAACAAAAAAGTCGGTTAATATCTCTTAAAGAGAAAGTCCTCCTTTCTAGACCTTTTGAATTAGATTTAAAAAGCAGAAAGGAGTTATGGCAATAACATTAGTACCTCCAAAACATAGTAGTTTATGCATGACCTAATGTCCCTTTTTTCAAAACTGAACTCAAACATAAATGGATTTCAAACTTAATTATTCATTTTTCATTGAATGCTATAATTTGTCTGTGATTCTGAGTAATATATGACATACACAATAGGTTAAGTCCATGGTACATGTATTTGGTCATTTGGTGTCCCAGTACATGACCAAGCTTATTGGTAATATAAACATAAATTGGTATCGAATTTCAAATTATATTACTTGATATTTGATATTATCTAAGCTTTTGTGGGGGCTTTCACAATAATACAACCATCAGACATGGTTGGTAACATATGGGGCAAAAAGAGCTTAGAGTCGCCTGACCATGGGTGAAGTACATGTACTCTTTAAAAGAAAACAGATTTGATCTGTTGTAAGATTTTGAACATGAATGATACACTGGAAAATATTGGAGAATTTTTAATGAGGCACAGCTCAGATTATATAAATGTAGCCAAATTTACCAAAGATAAATACTAAATTAAAAGTAATACTAGCTTTGCAATCCACTGTATTCTTCATGGTATGCTACTGAAACTGTTCCAACAAACCATAAGTTACTATATAACCCAAATAAAAAGTCAATACTTCAACATGACCACTGGTGGTGGGGGGGGGGGGGGGGGGGATACAATATTGAAGATACAATATATATACTACATTATATAAGGCCTCTTGAACATAATTCAACAGAAAAGAAAATGATTTGACTTTGAATTACAGCTTCATGATTTTATTCATTTGTCAGTAATTTTGTTGACTTATATCCAACTTTGGAACGCACAGTAACTGTTGTCAGATAAGCGTAGGGCACCAATGCTTGCCTTTCCATTTCCAAGAAAAATGAAGATGTAACTTTTACTTCTCTCTCTATCCATTTTCATTACATCTGCAGCCAATAAATATTTTTAAAGTGATTGTTCCTGCTTTTCCTCTCTAAAAATTTACAATACATGAAGGAGTAACAGGTAGTTAAAACCAATCACCAGCTTTAAGAGAATGGCATAGAAAGTAAGTTGCCTGCTAGCTAGAATGACAAGTTGAGCAGAGCAGAGCAGTAAAACAAATTAAGAACGCAGAAAAAGGCAAAAGGTATATAAAAGACGGTACAATAGCTCATTCTTGCCTTGGTTCAATATGCAAATGAAGTTGGACAACATGCTTTCAATAAAACTTGAAAATGTTTTTTAGAAACAAAATCATATTAAACTCAGTTTACAACTTTTCCTGACAAGTTTTTCAAAATGATTCATTCTATAACCAACAAGTTAGGACTTCTTTTAATTATTTTTCCCTTTAAAAATATATTCAATTTTTTGTTAATTTTACACTTGAAAATTTTAAGAACATAGGAGAAAACGGTGCATAGTATGCCAAGAGAGAAGTAAGGTAACCTAAGGTGAGCAGAGTTTGACCAAAATAGAACTTGTTGTTTTCTCTGAAGAAGTTTCTCTGACTGTACAAATAAAGAATTGCGCTCCTTATGCTACATACGTATAGACTTTCCTGCAAAGATAAAAAGAAAAAGAAAGGTGTATATATAAAATATTAGTCAGAATAAGTATGGTTCAAATGAAAACTGTACCTAACTAAGAAATGTATTCACGAGAGAAGTAAAAAACAGATTTGTTGTAAATCAGGAGCTAAAAAAGCCAGACAAAAGGTTGCGTAAGAAACTGTTCAAAGCAATGTACATGATATGAAGCAAAATATTGTACAGTTGAAAACATGTGTTACGTATTGATAACATTGTACTTCAATTATATTTGTTCTCACAACTTTACTTTGATGCTTGAATAAACACCTCATTTGAGGAAAACAAAAAAACAATGCAACTATACGTAATAACATTTTGGTGTAGTGACAACCTGAATGACTCTATGTAATATTTTTAACAAATAAAGGTGGACAAGAAATATTATAAATAATTAGGACAACTTATAACATACTATACGGTGAGATATAATTATGAAATAAACCGTTCATTTTGCAAATTTCACTTATTTATTATTTCTTAAATAACGATGTCTGCTTAAAGGTAAAGACCAGTTATGGTCATGCGATTGCATTGTGAAAGAAACATTGTGGAATCGATCAGAAAAGGTTGATCATCTAGCATCTAGCATCTGCAAGGTTCTGGAATCACCAAAATGATAAGAAATTTGGCCCATTCTTCGTAAAGTTACAAGCACTATACACAGAAAGATGTATATGGGACTACCCTATATCTCTCACAGACCATGAGAGAAACAAATTTACCAAATATATGAATTAGTGGGCGGTTTCCCGGAAATTTTTTTATCATCATGTATTATTCAAAACATATTCTTTCACATGATTGGTAATGAGAGCTTCCATTTCATTTTTTGAAACTGGGGCGTTTCCAATACTGGTCTTTACCTTTAAGAAATGATGCAGTATACTTCCTCCAAAAACCACGACATGCAAAATGCCAGCATTGTGAATTTTACGTCTCTATCACACAGATAAGTAATTAGTCTTAAGAGGCCGTTGTTGGCAGCATTTTCTTCTTCTTTTCTATTACTTATAATGCTATTCATTTACATGGAGCAGTGGTTTTTGTAGGTCGTTTTACTACATCAATGTGGATTTGGCCCAGCGTGAGCAGGGCACGATGTCTTACCTATCTTCTGGTGCCCTAGCAAGGTACTCTCTTTCTATCAAGCTTTCTATCCTTTTCTTGATGACAACAGGACTGGGTAAAAACCTAGATTTGAGCTGTTCTGTTACCTGCATAATGTCAAAGCATAAACATGATAAAAGTCAACCAGATAGTAAGTGAGCATCATGAAAGCACGGATGGCTCTTCATATTCGAATACATGCAGTGAGTTCATTTGCATGGCTATCAAGAATCAATTGGTAGTTCTGGAAACTTGCTCTGCACGTTCTGTGTGGCGAATCTTTGACAGTAAACCTGAAACATATTTCAAAGATTTTAAAAATTGATAGGGATAGCAATATTCATGGCAAGAAGTTTCTCAATTTGCTAAATTTTCAGCGTTGCATTTCAACCATTCTGCAGTATATCTCTCAAAATTCATGGAAGTTTATTCATAATATAATAAACTCATGTCTTCTGACAAGACATCTTCTTTGGTCACTCTCCACCCAGGTGTTAAATGGGTACCGGGATGGATTCATTTATTGAAAGCTGTGAGCAGGGCTCAAATTAATTTTTTGTCCACGGGGGCTCTTCCAAAATGAAAAGAGCCCCCGTAAGCCTTCTCACGGGGGCTCTTTTAGTGCTGACGGGGGCTCTCATTTTAAAACAAATTTCCATTGAATTGGTACCCATGAAACTCCTAAATTCCTTGGTATTTTATCATTATTTTAAATCGGCATTTTTCCCTCTTAGGAATTTACTTGCTATATAGCTGTTATTGACTTTTATCCCTGTGATGACATTCTCTCCATTTCTTCCTGTTCTGCACATATAATTCCTCCTCATTATTCGGAGCAACCTTATTTACATTCTTTTTTACTTTTAGTCTTTACCATATCTTTCCAAAAACACAGGGGCGGATCTAGCTTTTTGCTAAGGGTGGGGGGGGGGGGGGGGTAACCCAAATACCATGTGGAGCATCGTCCACGAGCCGCATAGCGGCGAGGCGATTTTTGTTGTTGCTATTTTGAACCCCCGTAAGTGATGTTTTCCTCGCATGCATCTACATGTATACTAACATGCGGAGCATCGTCCACGAGCCGCAAAGCGATTCTTTGGTGCTATATCTAAGTGATGTTTTCCTGGCATGCATCTACATGTATACTAACATGCGGAGCATCGTCCACGAGCCGCAAAGCGGCGAGGCGATTTTTTGGTGCTATTTTGAACCCCTGTTAGTGATGTTTTCCTGGCATCTACTGACATCTACTAATACTGTGTAGGTCTGGACACATGATAGCATTTTTCTATGCACATTACATATTTTTCACTAGGCAGCCCAAGGGGGGAAGGGGGGTTAAACCCCTAAACCGCATAGATCCGCCCTTGCAACATCTTTGGTCTTCTTCTTCTTCTCAATATTGATTTACTGGTCGAGTTACCTTATTTACTGGTCTTTTAGAATCACCAGATTTCAGAAGATTCACACTTTTCATAACGCAAAAATTCTCCATGTTTTAGTCCTTGCGCGGTCGAGGCTCCAGCTCCAGCAGATATTGGGCGTCAGCGCGTGCACACCGGTACTACCGGCACAGTATAGCCACTGCTGAGGGCCGCACTAGCTGCACGGCGAGCTTTCGTTGTTTGTATCAGTAATACTCATAGAGATGGGAGAGAAAGCGCCATCAAAGTTCCATTTCATTGGTTTAAGGTTTGAAAATTGATACTCAATATTGTGTTAAAGTTATATCAGAAAAGATAATCTTTATTTTATCATTTCACGGGGGCGATTTAAAATTTTGCAATCGCCCCCGTGTGCACCCTGATGGAAGCGATTATGGAGCTCACTGGGGCGAATCGCCCACCGCCCCCATTTATTTTGAGCGCTGGCTGTGTGCACCGAAAATGGTAGCATAGCAGAGCCGGGGTAATATTGGAGCGCCTCAAGCAAAATGCACGGTGGATATGTGTGCTATAAAAATATCCAATATTCTTATTACCGTATTTGCCAGCGATAAGGCCGCACCTCCGATTTTGACATTTTTTAGACTTTTTTTTGGAGACACCATGGGCAGCAAGCCAGCTGGCCGGTTATTTCAGCTTTCTCGTGTATTGCGCCATAGCTTGGCTAGCGCGAGCTGAGAGGATTGAGGTTGCTTTAGCTATGGCAAGAACTATCTAGATCTACCAGTAGAGTTTGGTTGGTAAGTTATGAAGTCTATTTACAAAATTGACAAAACTTTGCCCTTCATTTAAAAAATATGATATAAAATTGTCAATAAGACATGTGTTATTCTAGACAGTTATTCTAGAAATGTCCATCACCTTTCATTGTTGTCCCATATGTACAAATTTGTGCTGTTTTTCATGGTTTTGACTAGCGATTTTTAATCTTGCAGTGCATCAGCCGCACCCCAAATTTTTGATATTTTCTCTTCCAAAAATACTGCGGCCATTACGCCGGCAAATACGGTATTACTATTATTATAATTATTATATTATTACTGCTGTCAAAAGTTTCTAACTTATCAGATCCCCCTCCCCCTATCTATCATTAACATCTTTCTGTGATTTGTCTTTTTTTCTGCTATGTCTCCAAGCAATTTGTTAACACAGGATGGGTCTTCCATTCCAAACAAAAAGGAGTTTCTTACCTCTGCTACAAGTACATTGTGTTGCATCTTCTTTCTTGACTTCATTATCCTCACGATCGCTGCTTCAATCGTACACAGAAGGTTAAGGAAAAATGTTGTCTACAGGATGATTTACATTTTCAATACACAGGGTGTCTCAGAAAGTAACACCCAAAATATTCTAAACGTTCTGTAATTTTCTTCCAAATAAGCCAGTTCACGGTTGCAGTCTGAGCATGAGCAGATAAAGGTCATTGAAGAACATATTGTGAAAGTTATGTAATCATTATTCATTCATGCACAAGCAGTGCACTCCATGATACACAGGTGGAAGTATTCTTTGAAAAGGGGAAACAAAGGCTATTTATGTAGCACCTCCATCACTGTAGGAGTGATTATTTAAAAAAAATACAAAGTGGGACCTCTTCATGTTTTGAAGATCTGTGGATATTCAGGGTTATTGCAGACATGTGCTAACCGTGAACTGGTCTATTGGGAGAACCTTGGTGAAAGATTTTGTCACAGCTGACTTGTGTAACACTGTAGGGACACAGGTGCCGGAGTTGATGACTACTAAGCTATGTTTTGATTATCCATATGAATTAATTTACAATACAAAGAGGGAGGAATGTTTTCAAAAGAGAAACAAATTTGAAACGGTTGTTGCAAATATGAGACCAAAAAAACTTCACTTCATGTAGCAGTAAGAAGTGACAATTAACAAAACAAGCTGGACATTTCTCTTTACTTGTTTACAATAAGGTCTCTTCATAATGGCTATTAAACACAGAAGAATAAAATGTATAAAATTTGCAAAAGGATATTCATGTTTTCTGTCTTCATCCACTCTCGTTCTCGTCTCTTTCCTCTCTGGTTCTGACTCTCCCTTTGCTGCAACTGTAGATACCAAACAACAAAATATGACAGTAAGAGACTTAAATTGCTACAGAAGGTTTTGGCATTCCCGAGTGACTGAATGGATGACATAGCAAGCAGATGGTTTGGCCTAAATAGTGCATGGTGCAAAGATAACTTGCGCAAGTGAAGTGGTTTAGTGGTTTGTTCACTTGAATTTGTTCTAGAGGTCGAGGGTTCAAATCACAGCCTGGCACAAGAGTTCTTTGGCTAAACTTCATTTGCCACTCTACACCAAAGTCTAAATGGTACCTGGTATGCTTGAGCACTATATATTTGCATAGGGTAGATTGTGTAGATACAAATTGATCATTATACTTGAAAAGCTAGGAGACCATCACACCCTCAACTATGCCCTTAGGATTAAAAGAGGGCATATACTTATTATTTATCATTTTTCAACGGAGGGTCATTATTCTACATCTTTTATATTGCAGACACATACCCATGTCGATAAAAATACACAACCAAACTCTGGACTACTTGGGCTGTATACCTACTCACATGTACATAGGCAATGACACAACACCAAAAGATCTTGGTTACAAGACCATTGCTCTACCACTGAGCCATCATGCATTCTCTTAAGATTAATGTAGACAATGATAACTTGAATAGATAAAGCAAGAACTCACCTGTTTGGATCTTGACTCTGAAGAGTTTCGATGTGAAAGCATCATTGACTGAAAACATATGTGGATTCTCTGCAACAGAAAAGTTTTGAAAAAAGGTTATTAAACACTTCTTGTAGATATATGTCTTAAAAAAGAAATTAAAATAGTAGGTGTGCATATCAAATGTGAATATCCAATATTTGATGCGTTTGATCTTTATAAGTTTGAAAAAGTTTGTTCAATTAAATTAGGGATTTACTCCGAGTAAAGCAGAATAATTAAAACAGTGGTGTATGCACTTTGTAGGCATATCATACCAGTGATTGGGAATGTCATGCTGAAAGTTTTTTTTGATTTTTGAAAGGTAAATTCCCCATCCCCTCTCCTCTTCCCACAAAATGTTGACCCGTTTGCTGTTACCAAATGATTCACTATGAATAATAACAAAAATTGATAAAAAAAAGTGTGCATCTTTAAACTGCTATGCAAATCTTTCGTGAATGACCAACTATATACATGAGGAAAGCATGTACTTGTAGCGTATCATCTTCAATGCTCATGTTAAGACACTTTTTACAATCTGGATTTCACATTTAAAAATTTGAGGAATTCTGGAAGATGACACTCATTACTCTATCCTGTAACTGAAGCCAACCCATTTCTTTGTCTTCAGGTTTCTTGTCCAACTTAGAGTTAAGTTCGACTTAGGATCTTTGTGAAACACCCCCCAGGATAAATAGTTTTGTATTACCTCGGGCCAGGGACTCAAAATATTACTGGGTCTAAAGGTTTACGACTGCTATTCATGATAGCGGTCTTTCTTCACAGGTTCCATTATATCATCACCTATTTCTTTGCCTTTGGGTTCCTTGACCAGGATACGTTGCGTTGGTTTGCCGAGGGCCAGGGATTGGAGCGCCCTGATCAGGTCTTTGCTGGGGATGTCTGTCTCGGAGCACATCTCCTCGTATGTCCACTGCTCCTTGACGTTGAAGAGCATGAGAACACACATCTGGTAGGTGGAGACCTGGATGATGTGCCTCCTCTCCTCGTGTTTACCACCATCCTAACGGAACGACAAAGATGAAGGATGTTATCATTCCTCAATCAAAGTAAATCCCATGTTCTGGGACCCATTTCACAAAACTTGTCATCAGTGACAAATGACAGTTTTTGTTATAAGCTACTGAAATCCTTGCTTCTGATTGGTTATCAGCAGATTTGTCACTGATTTTTGTCATTTGTCATTGAAAAAAGGCTTGTGAAACGGGTCCCTGGGCCCCACCTTTTGCTGGGCCCCGCCTTTTGTTGCAATTGATCCCAATCATTCGCAAGTATGGAGTCTCCTATCTTTTATGTACGTAGTTGCAATTGATACCAATCGCAGATAAGTTGCGATTAATTTCAACTCTTTATAAGACGGGGCCCTGGAGTGGTATTCTGAAACTATGTTATGTTTTATGTAAGCAAAAATGTGTTAAATGTCATAACAAATCTATATTAGGGCATGGTGACAACCAATTGATTGATGTCTGTGCAAAGCTGGCTGTGTATGCGTATAGCTAGGAAAAACATTTTTTAAGAGAGGCATTTACACAAGTACCAACAATCAAAGACCAAAAATCTATTTGTTATGGCAATTAACATATTTCCACGAACAAAAGTGAACAAAATTTGGTCAGAAACTTCATTTTAGGCCAAAGAGGGGGCACCAGCAGTAATATTCTGATAAATTTCATATAAGAAGACGAGACTAAGAAAAACCAAAAGAGGAAACAAGTTCTGTGGAAAATTAGCCACTTGGAACAATTTTTTTTCTCTCACTTCCATTGGAAAGGTAAGAGCCTATATAAGCAATGCGTAGTCATCTGTACAACCTGAAAATTATAATCATTGAAAAGATCTACAACTATACTCCTAATTCATCAACATTAGACAGAAACATATGAAGCCTACCTTCTTTCCGCCGTGAAAGGTTGCATGTAGATCTGCTGATCCTAGTTGAGGTTGTAGTGATATTTGTCTTCCTGTGTGCTTTGTCAAATAAAACCTGGAAGAAAACAAAACAATTGCAATGAAATTGGGTTTTGGGTAAAATAAGGCCTTGTGGCTTGGAGAATGATAGTTTTGGGAGACCAAAGAAAGGTAATTCTGACAATCATAGACAAAATCAGAGAAATTCACACCATTATAGCAAATAAGGAAATGGTTCATTTCAAAATGGGGCATTGCTGGCTGGAAATATAATTATATTTCTGTCCAGGAATTGCACAGTCCACCGAAGATGCACAGAGCAATGTTGATTTGGAAACATCAGAGAAATTCACACCATTATAGCAAATAAGGAAAAGGTTCATTTCAAAAGGGGGCATTTCCTGCTGGAAATCTAATTATATTTCTGTCCAGGAATTGCAGTTGACTGAAGATGCACAGAGCAATGTTTATTTGGACACATCAAGATGATTGATTCTCTTCATTGTATACAAACAAGATTGAGCTACGAGTTATTATTGGTCTATTATTTATAATTATTAGTTTATATAATTATATGTTCCAATTCCATGTATGTGCTACATGGACTTTGGACTCGTGAGTGGAATACATTACTTTTTGAAAGCTTCGAAGGCATTTCTTGCTTGCGTTGGCACATTGCATTGTGGGGTTGCTGACTGTGTCGGCCAGAAGCCTGTCGTTAAAACTCTTACATTGAGATCTACGCCAAACATGTTGATCTATAAAGGAAAAAATTCAGAAACATAGAAATTAGAACCCTAAATTTATGCAAATTTCTTCTCTGCCAATATATGGTATAAAAAGCCACATAAAAGTGAAATATTTGGAAGTCAAAACTGGAAAATTACCAGATATATCTAAATTCCTTTCTCTGTCAAATTTTGGGGTAAAAAGGCTGACAAAGAGTTACATTTTTGCACATCACAGGTTTTTTCCCCCCCCTACAGGGAATATTATACAACTGAGAGGTGAAAATGAATTCATGATGCGGCATATGAAATCCCTCATGGCCAAGTGTAAAACAATGGTAAGCTGTGTGATCCAGGGATTTACACAAAATAATGTGAGGTTGCTATTTGATGCACTTCCTGGTAGCTCAATTCAATTCAACATTCCTTTCAGACACTTTTAAACTAAAGTTAAGCGTAAACCATCGATCGTTAATCTCCCATCATTACAGTGGGCACATCTATCATTTAACAAGTGAACCAACATATTGAACAATTTCCATTCCGATTTTCTTTTTGGTATGGTACTTGATATAGTCTGTATAGAGCAAGAAGGTCTTTAACTCATAATATTTTACTGAGTTGAGGTCCTCTTTGCTTCTGATAACATTATCTTTATTAAAGGGATCGTTTAACAATGTTAAATCTGAGATACACGGTCCTACATGTTACAAGTGTCTGTGATATGGTGTAATATTGAAGCCCTAGAAAAATTGCGCTTCAAAATGATCAAGAAGTGCCTCAAAAAAGTAAAAATCTTTGACTGACCGGTTTTACCATACTCGTTTTCCTTGATAGACTGTAGCGATATGAAAACTGTTCAGCGAACGGTTTTCAAAATTTGTAATTCCAATCATTAATATCTTGATAATCAGACAGGCGATCGGCTTGTAAAAGTCATGGAGTTCCTGACTGACCTAAAGGTTTATAATTATCATTGCAGCATGAGCTAAATCAAGGATTATTTCTAAAGGATCCAAGACAAAGTTACCTGATCCCTTTAAAATGAAGGAGTCTTACCGAAGCTGATTGCACATGAGTCTTGAATTCATCCATGAAAGTGTTGGATAGCGTCATGTCTTTAAACATGCCTTCTAGCTTAGATGTGAACTGACATCCACACTCCGTCTGAAAGAGGGATAGCAAGAATCAAATAATAAGTAATGGTTCATATCAATGGCTGTACATCCTGGCCAGGACTCTTCATTGAAAAGTGGTTCAAATCCCAGAAAACATGTAGCCTAACAAATGGATGTCATACCTGCCACAAACCAAAGACTTCTGAGATGGAGCAGGGACTACTTTAATCAAATCATGAGTTCAGTTTACCTTCAAAAGAACGTTGAGTTCTGGTAATGGTGAAAACAATGTCTGAGATTTCTTATTCTTTCTGTGAGAGTAGAAGAACATCACAACTAGAAATCTAACTTAAAAAATTTGCTTTTCAAATGTCCTACTATTCCATATATGACTGGATCTAGCGTATAACTATGGATCAATTTTTTTTTAATGCCACAAAAGTAAGTATAGTCCAGTGTACACTTTTCTGCGTGCAGTGCTTTTCACTGCTTGTGAATATCAGAAAGATTTTCAGTCTCTTATTTCAAAGATTCCCAAACCTCACAGTATACACTAATTATTATGTCCTACATAATCAACCTTCCCCAATAGCTTCTAGATTGTCTCTTTCACAACCTAATGACATGAATAGTACTTCACATTACCTTTAACTTTGAGATCATGTTCTTTTCTGAGTCATCTGATACACTCTTGTTAAGGAGTAACCTCTTGGCCAGATGCTGTTTGTAGTAGCGCTCAAAGACATCCTTCTCCTGTAGGAACCTAAAGAGAACCATGCTCTTGTCTAGGATGGCCTCCACTTCTTGCTCACTTAACTGCAAAAGACCACAGAAAATATTGCATGTAGGTATCTGTATCCGTATGGTTTGGTCAGCAAAATGCCTTCTTCAGACACATCCACGCTAACTTTGTGATGACAGAAGCGCATTGCGTGTGAAACACTATTTATATCTGTATGGTTTGGTCAGCGAAATATCATATGTATATCATAGCGACTATCTGTCCATACAAAATAGTTGTTTTGTTTTCCACTGAGCAGTCTTTCTCAACAATTTTGACTCAAATAATGGTTATCTAGGAAGTCAAATGTTTGGATTTGTGGTTATCAAGTCTATGATGCTAACAGCAAATGTGTAATGTTAGCTGTACCTTATAATTATTTGATATTGAAGAATAAAGGCTTACATGTAACTTGTCTATTCACTTCCTCCCGATACTTGACTAGTTTGTCTGTTGAGAGCCATGGGGGTGTTAATTCTGTGATAAAGTATATGAGCTCACTCCCCTTCTGGATTTCAACAGGCAAAATATTTAAAAATGAGCGTTGAGGTTCTTACCCCTTTAACACCCTTTTTGAGCTTGTCATCGATGAATAGTGACAGGTACTCTGGGGATTTGGTGTTGAGGTTAAGGAAGTACTCAAAGTCGCCCGAAATGGTCTGCTTGAACTTGCGGTCTGTACCAAACGAGTCTCGGAGGAACATGTCAAATCTGTCTTTGAGTTCTAGGAGATCCTGTATAGGAAGAGATAGCACAAGAAACAGTAGGTAATGAACAGCTTATATATGAAAGAAATAGTAAGTAACAAGCAGTGCATCATTGCCTTCATCTATTCATAGTTTTCCTAGTATAGCAGTAAAATTGGATCACACTTCCAGCAAAATTTACTGGCATTTAAACCTTTGTTCTTAACTGATAAACAATTTCATCAAGATGGTTAAAATTAGTAGAAATATGTCCTACAACACATCCAAAAGCTCAGTTTTCTGACATTTATGAAGTGGTGGTCGCCAAAATGGCAACTTGTGAAAATCAGAAATTTGGCAGCTAACTTCAGCCTGCCGTTTCATGTCTGAGGGAGGTACCTGAACTGATGATATCTAAATTGTAACAGGTACATACTATTATGGATGCTTTGAGAGGTTAACCCAAGCATCATATTGTACATATACATAAAATCAGTGGTGCATCTACATGAACAGAATGTGGGATGATGCCTTAGGCATTCTTGTTGAACTCACCTGTACATACTGGATAGGGTTCTTTCCGCCCTCCTCTTCCTGGACTAATGCTTTGCCTTGTTCCCTCAGGTAGGAACTCACACAGCGACACATCGTCTCTAGACCGTTCGTCACTCTCTTGAATAATTTGTACATACATGCTAGATCTGCCGATGCAAAAGGTATAGAATTTAAATCCCAAGTGTATTTTTAATTTATCTTTTCTTTTTAAATGAAGGACTTAAGGTTGTCTAACATCAAGGACAAGAAACAAAAGAAGTCCTTGAGCGACAATTCGTCTCACGATTGTTCAGCTCTCACAAAAGTGCTAAATCTGTCCAGGGAAGGAGTGTAGAGTTTAAGAGTTTAATACTAGCTGACAGCACTGAAAAGGTTTGTGGAATATGTTGCCAAACAACACGTTCATCTATCAAAACAAGTGTTCTAAGTACGAGGAAAACTATCAAGTTACATCATGCAATCTTGACATGTAGATTTGGTAGGTAAAGTTGTAGTAGTACTAGTAGGTTGCTGATCAGCATCAAGCTTTGTTTACAATGTGTAGTATGACACTTTGGCAAATTTGAAACACTCACAGAATCTGTGAATGTTTCATTCACATAAAGTTTCTTGTTTTTAAGCAGACCTAATGCTGATACATGTCTACAAAAGCTATTTCTATTTTTGCCTTAGTTACCATATTTACAGAGCTGTTAAGAGATAACATGTTCATTACCTTCTTTTTTGTTGTTCTTCAACATGTGAACTACACCTGAATTTTCCATCTAAAAATGTAAGAAGAATTGAAAATGTTTGTTAGAATAATAATCAACAGTTAAAACTCAAATTGTTCACAGGAAAAAAATATAATACTGAATTTTACTGAACAAACACAAAGTCTGTGGAAAATTATAAATCACAAGAAAAAAATGTTTCACATTCCTTGAAGTTTTAACAATTTTAAATTTATGGTCAAGGATTCTTCCACACAGATCAAAAGCTTTATACAGTAGCTTGAGTGACTAATTTCCTTGTGATGAATAAATGTTGAAGGATCAAATAAGGGTAAACCTAAATTAATAAATCATTATAAATTGTTTATAAATCAAAACTCACCTCTACAATTGTTCTCATGTGTTTGCAAATTAATTCCTCTTCTAGAACCTAAAAAGAAAGAAAGAAAAACAAGAAAGACATGAATATGGAGATTGAACAGTATTTACAGACAGTCCACAATAGTTTGTATCCCAATGTCTTGTCGCTGAACTGTCTTTCCATGACACCCCCCCCCCCCCCCCCCCCCCCCCCCCCCCCCCCCCCCCCCCCCCCCCCCACCCAGTCACCAAACATGACTTAAATTAACCTCCTTTGTACATTCAGGCTAATAACCAATCATGTTGATAAACCAACTAAACCTGAGATCAAACTAAATACAGTCCACAATAGTTTGTATCCCAATGTCTTGTCGCTGAACTGTCTTTCCATGACACCCCCCCCCCCCCCCCCCCCCCCCACCCAGTCACCAAACATGACTTAAATTAACCTCCTTTGTACATTCAGGCTAATAACCAATCATGTTGATAAACCAACTAAACCTGAGATCAAACTAAATACTTCCAATGTTGATTTTTGTATATTTTCATTACATTTTTTTTTATCATTTAGGACAGCAAACAATAAAATACTATTTAATTGCCGAGCTACGATCACCAGTGTATGGTCCATCTGCTTATAATCCCGGTAAAAGTCAATGAAAGAAATTTGTACGCAATCCCTTACCTTGACTATAGGATCTTCTGTGGATTTATCTAGATAGTGTACTGCCCTCTCCGCTTCCTCGTTGATGCGAGCCTCCACTTTCCTGATGTACACCGATGCACTGTTCTCTGTTAAGAAGTTCTGACTCTCCATCTGAAAAGACGATATACAAAATGTACAGAGTCCAATAATGTAAAGCATTTATTCATCTAAATGTCCTCATGATACTCTTTATAACACATGACAAGGTTATACGACATATGCTCCTCCGACAATTGGACAATGTTTCTATTAGCTAAACTCACTAAATTCTAAACTTCAACCCTGCACTCAACATATCTTAAAACAAGATTGCAAATCAGTTTTGCCACAGCATTGACATCCTTTGCTAAGACATTAACCTACATGTACATTCGCCACACTCAACTAACATGAGGTAAATGGGTACTGAGTAGAATTATTCCTGGAAATTCAGGGTGTGCTAATAACATTAAATGGGGCTGAAGCATGGGTGAACATTTTCAAGGCTGTTCATAACACCATGTAATTTGCTATACAATAAAATGTTTTAGGGTTGTTATTAATTTAGGGCTTACCCTGTAGAAGTCTGCTGATTGGTCAAGAAACGGCCTCTCAAAGTCTTCCATGTATACAGATCTTGAGTCAATACCTAACACCATCAGCATCTGACATGCATTCTTCACCGCTAACCTACATATTCAAAAGAATCAAGTCAATCAGTCAAGACTTACAGTTGCCATACTAAATATATTATGGAAGTTGTGACTGAATATACACAAATGATGTTACAAACAGGTTACAGGTTCACAGCTGCAGGATAAACTTTGCTAGTCATTGCAAATTCACAACAAGCAGGAAAAGATTTAAAACAACTATTGTCTGGCTGATAGTATTTACTGTACATATATGGTACAAGGAAACCGTTTCTGAGAATAAAGATAAAAATTGGATAAGAAAAGAAGACAAACACCATGTATCGTGACTCTTTGATTTGTACACATTGCCCCAATATTTTTCCCCCAGGACAGGCATATTTCACATTTCCATGATTACAGCGGGTTTATTTTTGGGGTGGGGTTATGGTTAAAGATGAAGTCGAGTTCTGGTCATGCGATTGCATTGTGAAAGAAACGGTGTGGAACCGACCAGAAAAGGTTGATCATCTAGCATATAAGAATTTGTGTGTATTGCAAGGTTCTGGAATCACCAAAATGATAAGAAATTTGGCAAAGTCTTGGTAAAGTTACAAACACTGTACACAGAAAGATGTATATGGGACTACACGAACACGTGGCGTAAAAAGCCGGCCCCCGATTTTTACGATGTTACATGCATATTTAGAATATGAAGGCATTTGAAGAGCCATGCTTTTCAGGGAACATGTCTCATCTGATGTTCTTCCACACTTGCATAATAAGAATGAGTAATGCTCACAAATTATTTTTCACCTCTTCCCAGAACTCAACCTTCTCTTTAAAACTAAAGTCCTCAGTGAGCTTGGGACTGTATACTATGCCCCTACATTCTTCTCAGTATTGCAACATAACCCCTCACAGCAGTCAGTATAAAAATGTACCTCATGTATACCACTCTACATAATTCGCTTGACAATCGGCCAAAAGCGCATAACAAAATACATGCAGTGCCAGAAAATAGGGTTTCCTCCATACATGTTATTTGAAGAATTAGAGCAATTTTATCATGGCATTTGTCCATAAGTAGAATGGTGAAAGTGAGCCAATTTTTTATATTTTCATAGTTATTTCAGTCTAGAATATAGAAAATTGGTTTGGATTTGAATTACAAATTCAAGTAGTACTAGTCTACATTTAATAACTTCAGTGTCAAATGTGTACAATGTTCATGTAGGAGGTTCACCAATGCCATGAGAAATACTGAAGTGATTACATAAAAAAGTGTACTTTTCATTCTCTAATTACGTTATGTATTTATGTTTAAAATAATGATTGTAAGTACATTGAATTTCTTTTCAAGGAGGAAATGCCAATAATTTTGTTTTACATAACTACCATTATTATCATACTACAATCAAATGTACTACAATCTCAGGGGCAACACATACCTGTCTATAACCTCTCCTTTCCTCTCCCTCATGACAAGGTCCAGTAGCGTCTGTCTGAGATGGTCCCTGATGTTGCCGTACCTCACCACTTGGTCTCTGAAGATCTTCAAGCCCAGGTTGTATACATTGTCAACGTTGTTCTGCTGAACGTATACCCTGTCCTGTGATTCAGAGATGACAAGGAAAGTGTTTTTGGTTACTGACCGAAAGGCTATAAACGTAAACCACATGCACTGTTCAAGCAAAACTACATGCTCTTGGTAGAGTATTACAGTATTTAAAAATGAGCTTGAGAAAACTCATCTATACATACAGTATGACTACGAATAAACCCCTTGGAAAATATATGGAGTGCATTGCCTTACCCTTTCTGAACTTAGGCGATTTAGCCATCCTAAAATGACTTGAGTTATTCCGGTGCTTTCTTGGCCTTAAACAGTTAACCACTTACTCCCTTCCAACCCCAAGATCTCAGCTAAAGAGTGACAAAAAATCTGGAACTTTAGCATACGGATATAGTATGATGCAATGAATAAGCCCATGGAGTATCATAACTACATGTATATGATAAATGAATTTCACCTCCAACTTCTTAGAGCATATATGTAGACCCACTCATTGACATTGACAATATTTTATTTATACAAGGACGTACCATATACATGAGAATGTCTCTGATCATAATCATGGCTGTCTGATGGTCGTTCCATGCCGCGTTTAGAGTCTGTAGAAAGTTGTTGTTGAGTGCTTTCAAAACTTCCACACGGACCTAAAGTGAGAAATACATCAGAAATAAAATGTGTTTTCCAGACGACATTATAGACAGCAAAGGTCTTATCAGCACCTTTGAATAGGCAACTAGATATGGGTGCTCTACAAATTCCCAGGCTTGGACATCATATACTTATTAACATACTATTAAACAGACCTACAAAACTCGTTCACATACAAAATGACTGAATGAGCGTACATGTACTGGCTCATTATCATAAGCCAAAATTTATCTAGTGAGCTGTTTACCATTTTTATTAGGGATTTAGGGGGCTAATCTGTTAATTTTGCTTTTCAGGAAATGTAAGTGAACAAAGCTTATCGCATGAAGCACAAGGCATTAAATGACCCAGTGGCCAGTGTGGTACTGGTAACACTTTATGCATCTCAATAAAAATTGAAATCACATGTTAATATTTGCCTCTCTAAACAGACACACATGTACAGTATGTAGATCTTTTTATGTCGAAAGATGAGTGTAATCAGATAATTAAACAAGTATGTTATGTACATGGTTGTGTAGTGTATGACTGTACGTACATGCATACACCCTAAAATGGTGAACTATATAGCGTTTATAAATCGACTGCCCTACATGTATGTGACCCTTTTGCAAAAGTTACCCTTGCAGAGGCCCACTGTACTGACAACAGTCTCGCAAGCATTCTGGAAGGTCATCAGAGGGTCTACAAGGCTACCAGCACATGATAACAATAACATCAGAGACATGTCAGTCTGCAGGGCCTTCTGACAACTTCTTCTGAAGATTTACAAGACTGCCATGTCTGTCTTGTGGGCTGTCCCTCTAGCGGGAGGTCCTGACTTACCTTTTCTACCAGGTGTTCTGTGACGACATCCCTCAGTCCCGTGTATAGCCTTTCGCCGTGCTTATGGAGCACCATGGTGTATGCATTGCGATAGAGCTCCTCGAAGCTCAGGCCACTGTTGTTCTTTCTCTGGATTTCCTGGATGGCGTTCTTGAGCAGGTTCCAGATGCTCGACACATACTTTTCATCCATGTTTGTCTAATAACAACAAAAAAAAGGGGGGGGGGAGGTATAGATTGAATTAATTGATCTTGAGCCATCATCATTACTTGTTTTACAACCCTGTACATGCACTTACATTTAGAAGACCTACATATAGTACAGCCTGAGCATGCCTACTGTAGTCTAAATTGGCTCATATTTCAAGTGAAATAAATCTACATGTACTCAGTAGATTTACAATGTATACACATAAATTGATTACACTGTCTCAGAACCAGATCAAATACTGAATTTGAGGACTTATGCTTTGAATTCAAAGTGCGTAGCTTACGGTCTCACTCTCCTATAAATATTATTAAGCTGTCTGATATAATATACATGTACAGTGTACCAAACTATTAAATAGCTATTATATTGTAAAATAAGTATCGAATTGGCAACGCGAAAAACTTTTTTTTCTTCTTGTGCACAATGCACAGCTAGTATTTGCATTTCAGGAATTCAGGCAGAAACATTGCAAAGTCTAGTAATCGGTCAGCGATTTTTGAGGGTATTGAAGGTAAGCAAGTTGCTGTCACTCTAGTATCAAATTTTCACACTATTCGTTTAATTCTTCCACCGATTCCACAAGTGACTCCAAAGAAAGTGTGCAAGGTTCATTACATGTAGCTGCGCGCGAGGGCGATTACGAATGCATTTTAGGTTTCGTTGACACTATCACTCTTCACACAGCGGTAGGCTATAATTGCCAATTATCAAGGCTACATGTAGGTGATATCAATATCATATTAATTATCACGTCACCCAACCCTATATTCTGATACATTTAGGGGGAAGGAGAAAAAAAAAATCATCTGAATCAGATCATGCAAAACCGATTTAAACAAACAGCATTTTGAAGAAGTTTACATGCAATATTTCATAAAATTTGTGGTTAAGACTTAGATCTATGTTAGACAATATTATAAATGACAAATATTTATGATGGTGTAATTTTATGCATACTTTTGTTAAATTAGGTTCAGCGTCCAAACACACAACCCCCACCCCCATCATAATTAATACACCGTCGCAATCACTGAAAATAGGGCCTACACCATCTTGATCATTAATAATTTCATTGATTCATAGTAAAATACAATTTCAGGACGTACTGGAAAGGCACGAATCCTCATGCGAGAGTCCTTCTTCGGTGGTGGTGCTTTCATCGAGTTACTCATGTTGACAATATTGTTTTCCAGTCCAACTGCAATGTCAAATAACAGAAAACAAAGCAAATTGTTCAGTCTACTTGCAACACTCAGATCTCTTGTCTACTGTAGTTGAAGAGCCTATGACAAATTAGGCAGTTGAGTCATAGTGGAACATGTTAATTCTACGGAGGCGTCCAAATGTACGATATATTTGCAGCAATTTGAAACACTTTTGAGTTTTGTTGTTTAACCATAACACGGGCGCTGCACTGCATTCATTGTGTTTACGAATGTAGCCGAGAAGTCATCTACGTTGAGCTATCTGCTGCACCTTCGTTTTATGTGGACTCACAAAATCTATTTTGGAACAGTGACTCAGCTGGGGTAGTTTATTCTGTACTTTCGACGACTTTTCGGACATCCAGTTGGTATTTCATGATTGTTCACCGTTGCAGTGTAGTTGAAGGCTCAGGATATGCCCCAGAAAGGTGCTCAACGCACGCACAAATTGTAAAAAAACGCGATTTCCTGCTAATGTTAGTAAGATTCAACACATGAAACTAGCTTCAACACTTGACCCAAAGTGTTGTACACATTTCGCGAACTACTTTCTTCCGCCAAAATTCTTTGCCCCTAATTTCTTGTAAAATTGGAATACCAAGTACCCTTTTCGATTTTTCAAGCCTAACTGATTGCTTCTTTCTAATGATATGTAATTTTGTCCCAAATTTAATTCATCTTTGCGGGAATTTGTCATAAGCGAACTAATATTATTTTGTAGTGTAGTGCAATCCGCCTTTAGTATTCCACGGTTGTGACGTCATAGGTCATGACCATTCAAGAGTATACTCTGCAAAATATTCGATTGGCAATGCTTGCATGATGAAAGATGTATAAAGAAACTCAGAAAAATTACGAAAAAAAGGCAAGCCGAAATAAAAATTAATATTTTATTGGTAAGTCTTATAATGCAATCATTCACTTTCAACTATTATCTATATGTACAATAAATATTCATATTTACTTTGGCAATATAGACTGTGAATCATAACTTGTCTCTGACATTGACCGAATAATATTATTGTTTGTTGTTCCTTTCAAGATAAGACAATTTGTCGTGATTATTATTGTATTAAGAAAATGTATCGAGTATATATATATATATATCATGCGAAATGAAAGAGATGCTTTATGATTATGGCGTAGAGGCGGTGCTACCGGAGGGGGGGGGGGGGGGGCAGGGGGCCGCTTAATGGCCCCCACTTTTTAAATATCCTAAATGCCCTTTTTTATACAGATACTGAAGGGCCCTACTTTACTTTAGATAAGAGACATTTCTTTCTTCAAATAGGTGTCCGTTCTACATTCTTCTAAGTGCCCGTTAGCCTCTGAAAATTTCCCCTATTCATGTTGAATCTCAGAGGCGCTCCTTTTACTTTGCCAGAAGTGCCCCTTCCCCTTCTCATTAATGCCCTCTTTCACCTCTAATACATGCCCCTATTAAAATCTGATAGGTGCCCCTTTTCTTTCAAATAGATCTCCTTTATCCTTTATAATAAGTGCCCTTTTCCCTTTTTAATAAGAGTCACTTCCCCCTGCTCATACATGTAAGTGCCTCTTTTCAACTCTGATAAATGCCCCTATTAAGATTTGATATTGCCCTTTTCCCTTTCAAATGAATGTCCTTTTTCGAACTGTTAAGTTTTTTCTATATTCTCACCTCTGTCAAAATGCCCCTATTGAAACCTGATAGGTGCCCCTTTTACTTCGTCAAATGCTTCTTTTTAATTCTCATAAGTGCCTGTATTTATCTCCACGAGTTCTCCTTTTTTAAGTGCGAGAAATGCCCCATATTCACTTCTGATAATTGACATTTCTTGATCCCTTTTCCCTTTTGATAGGTGCCCCCTTTCCTTTTACCAATGTGCCCCGAATTAAAACTGACTAAGAGCAAATTTCTCTTTACTTTTTCCCCAAAGCTAGTTATGATAGGGGATAATAGTATAGTTGTCCGCAAGTAATTGATCCTGAAGTAATGGTCCAAGGGGTAGATTTGTACCCGGGATTTAAACAAGGGGTTAGTGTTCTGTGTGTACGTATTGATTGATTGATTGATTGATTTTATTCGACAAGTCTCCAACATACAACAATATAAAAGATCAAAATTAAGTCAGCTTGAACAGGATAACCCACGGGCTTGTCCGGGCTTGTAATACAGTTAGGAATTGAATATCGAGTGTTGAATATCGAGTCCAATTATTGGAATAAAAATCTAATTGAATATGATGATTGCATCATTTATTTGAAAAAAAAGTCTATCTTTTTAAATCGAATATTACCCGATTAGAACAAAATCAACCTTTGACAGTCTGAAAAAGATGTATAGCGCCACCACTTGTGGAGAAATGAACAATCGCATCGCAAGATAGTTTTCAACCGTATAAACAAAAGTGACATTTTGTTGTTGCCCATAAAGTTCGATAGTCCTGAACTTTTCTCGTAAACAAGTGGATATAATAATGCCGATGTTGAAATCGTATCCCGATTTGGGTTTCTTTGTTTTTTCTTCTTCTTGAAATTCACAAAATAGACAAGATTTTAGCTCAGATATGCCCGTTGTAACAAAATATATTCTGACGGGTCACTTCGGTTCTAAGACCACTAGCTCTATATTAGTATTTACTATGACCTTATCACACTGGCTTTATAAAGGTTTCGTTAAAACATCAACATGGGTCACAATGTCACATACCGCCTGAAAAGGGTCAGTGATAACGCGATATATTAAAGGGTTTTTAGTAAAAATACTTACAGTCAGAAACATAGTCAGAAGTCTAACAAAATTAAAATTCAGTCCATCTGTATATAGAGCCATAGGGATTACTCTTCAAATTGATCGTTCTGGTTTTATTGGATTATCATATTCAATCGCTGATGAGGGGAGAGAGTGGGGGTGAGCTCGAAAAGGGAGCCAATGGCAATGGAATCGGCAATTCAGGCAATACATAGCAAACAGGAGTACAGTGCACATCAAATTAAGAAAATCGGTCACTGCGGTTTTACAAAATTAATAACAAGTATCATTAAAAGATAATACTTGAAGATCGTCATTACTTTTAGGACAACAATGGACGATTGCCTCTCCATCTTTTCATTCAGTTTCCAAACTTCTTTCCCGCTATCAGACCTTTCCTTATTACCCCCTCTCCTTCTCTCTGTTGCGTTGTCTCTCTTTATCTGTGTTTTACTCCTCTCCTCCCCTCTCCCTCCCCATTGACTCTCTATCTCCACCTCTCCCTCCCTCTCTCCTCTTCCTCATTATCTCCCCTCCGTCCCCTCTCTCTCTGCGGCTTTGCATGTCCCTCTTTCTCTGTCTCCCCTCCTCTTTCAAGCTCACCACCCCCTCTCCCCTCATCTCTCCCGTGCTCTTTACGGCTCCCCCACCCCTCTCTCTCTTTCTGCCTTTTACCCCTCTCTCGCAGGAAGTGATTGCACTCTTTCAGGAAGCGGATAGTAAGATGAACTTTTCGGAAAGACACTCTGGCACTGTGTAGATGATTCATAATTCTCACTGAAAATCACAATCCACAATCCAAAATGGTCTACAATACATAATAATACTGATCTCCCTGCCGTTGAAAAGTAGGTAGGTTAGACAAACAGAGATGAAACAATGCTAAGCACTAAAATATCATTCTAAGCCTCAAAATATCATTGCTCTCTTAAGTTTCTCGTCCGAATCTTTTGAAATTGCAAAAATGGCTTCCAAAATTTGCCGGAACTTGATTGCATGTTGATAAAATTGATGTGTTAACAAATTCCTTTTGGATTTTTTAAAAATACCTGATATTTGATTATTTTTTTTAGATTGCCATGAAGATCGATATCACCACAATTTGTTGTAAGACCCACTACATTTTGTTGTTGGTGTTCAGCCGGCCAACACAAATTGTGTTTGGGGCGTATGCCCACACCCTATATCGGATGTGCCCCTGCAATTTAATAATGCTGTTATAAAACCATTTGCACACAGTCATGCAATATGATTATTCCCGAAGTTATCTCAAATTTCAAAGTTTAATAAACGTCATAGCATTTGTATACATGCTCACTTGCCAATTTCTCTTTTAAACTCAAAGCGATTGTTATATCAAACATAAGCATCAAAGAGACAAAACTGACAGAAAAGAATTAAACATAGAATTAAACAAAAACAATTTCTTTTAGAATATGGGGGAGGGGGCGCTTTTCACTCAAACAGGTTCATCGCTAGATTTTAGGCAACCTTGTCAGAAAATGTTTTGTTTAACCCCACCCTCTGAACCCCCTGCAATCTACAGGATTCCAGAGAATTCAATTGTTTTCGCTTATTTGTTAAAGTCCTATTGTGTGTACTTGTACTTTGTTATTTTATTTTATTTATTTGTTTAACTATTATTTTATTTATCATTTACATATGTCGATTTAATTTAAAGGGGGGGGGGGGTGCAACTGTCATCCAGACGCTCCCATCGACAGGTTGTTTGTTCAATGGTTCAGGTAAAATTCTTCTTTTTTTTGGGGGGGGGGGGGTTGGGGGGAGGGGGGAGTGCCCTCGTCCTCCGGACTCAATGACCATGTATACAAAATTGTTTCTCTGGTGGTTTACATGATGTGAGTGGTGATGAAATTACGGTTGCTTTGGGGGATTATGAGATTTAGAATGTGGTTTTGTGGTGGGGAGCCCTACCTGTCATACCTCACAGATTCTAGATTATGCCGGAGGAAATATGTTTTTGGAACAGTTGAGTGATGTTATGGTCCCCTTTTGCCAAACAGCCCCCCCGCAACCCATGCTCCCATATCCCCCACGCCCCTTGCACCTTGGTTTCCATCTATCCTACTGTAATTTTAACTTCTCTTTCACTCACAAACTCTCTCTTTTCCCTGCTTCTCCACTTTCTACCTTCATCCTTCTCGTTTATTCTCGCTTTCTATATATCTCTCATCTTTCTCACTTGTTTCAGTCCTCTGCTTCTTTTAATCCT